GAACCACCATTTATGGATAAATTCATAGCACTAGATGCCTCTTTTAGAAAAGAAGAGGTTTCAAATCAATGATTCAGTTGCAACCTTAAGAAACTGCAAAAAGAAGAGCAAATTAAACTCAAAGCAAGCAGAAGAAGGAGAAAAGGATCAGAGCAGTGAAACAGGAAACAACAAAGCAATAGAAAAAAAATCAATAAAACTAAAAGTGAGTTCTTTTGGAATAGTAATAAAATTAATAACCTTCTAGCCAACCTCCAATGAACTTACCTTTATGGCAAAATACCAAAATTACAGGGATGGAAAACATTAATGGTTGCTAAGGTTAGGGATGTTAGAGGTAGTGAGGAAGGTATGACTAAACTTAAGGGAAATCTTTGTAGTAATGAAATGATTATCTTGATTGCAGTGGTGGCTACAAAAAATTTGCACACTTGATAAAATACACAGAACTATATACACTCACTGTACTAGCAAGTTCTTGTTTCTGGTATTGTACCTTAAGATGTAATTATGGGAAAATTATGTGAAGGGTACACAGATCCTCTTTACTACTTATTCAACTTCCTGTGAATCTACAATTATTTAAAAATGAAAAGTTAAATATATAAAGTACACTAGTATTTTCTAGTATTTTAATTATTTGGGGCTCAAAATTAGAATCATTAAGCAATTACTACCATAGTAAACCTAAAAATAGTTACATATAAATTCAGACTATAACTGATACATAGAAGAAAAAACAAGGTCTCTGGAAAAAACAGCATGTGTGTATAATGTCTGCATATATGAATGTATGTATTGATATATACATATATACACATATACAGATATATAAATATAACATACTAGAGGCCTGATGCACGAGATTTGTGCACTCCAGGGAGTTGCTCAGCCCGCCTGTGCCCTCTCGCAGTCTGGGAACCCTTGGGGGATGTCCAACTGTCTGCTTAGGCCCTCTCCCCATCCTAAGCAGGCTGTCAGACATCCTTAGTGCTGCTGCAGAGGTGGGAGAGGCTCCCGCCACCGCTGCTGCACTTGCCAGCCATGAACCAGGCTTCTGGGCTTCTGGCTGAGCAGCGTTCCCCCTGTGGGAGTGCACTGACCACCAGGGGGAAGCTCCTGCATTAAGCATCTGCCCCTTGGTGGTCAGTGCATATCATAGCGCAAGGTTGTTCTGCCGTTTGGTCAATTTTCATATTAACCTTTTATTATATAGGATATACGTACCTAAGTATAAAATTGATAATAAAACATTTCTAAAAATTCACAGAAAACCACATATAAAAGCAGAAAGGTGGTAGGTCAGGCCTATATACTATAAATCAATGTATTTACCCTCTAAAGTTCCTAAAACTGTTATTGTGCGTATGCAAAACATTAAGCAATATATCCAATGGCCAGAAGAGTATTATTCTTTTAGTCAATAAAAAGGAGTTAGACTTGTTCATCTGATGACACTGTTCAGACAAATTTCTGTATTACCTCTATTCATACCAAAAAATAAGAAAATGCAAAAGATTCCCTAGTACCTTTTCATCCAAGTCTGAACTTTTTATGTGTTCATTGCAGTCTCCCAGTTTTTCATTTTGAGAGGTCCTATTCGTAACTTCTCCTAAGGAAATGTTTGCATCTTTAAAATCATATTTTTTCTCACTTGCTGAAAAGAAATAATATTTAACTGTAGAAACTACAAATGACAAAATAAGCAAGTCATTCAAAGATTATCCTAAAAATAAGTTAGAATTCAGTCTTTTAAAGTCCAATATGACAAATTTAAAGTTTTCAGCAAATTATACAATTATTCCCCTTTATCAAATAACTCCATTATATGGTATAAAAAGAACTGGCAGTAAGATAAAATTGAAACATATCAAGATACTTTTAAGAATCTTTCTTGATCATGTCCAGCTATTTTAAACATATTTTGAAACTTGAAAGTCAAAGTAAAATTAACTTTCAAATTAAGTTATTTCCTGTAAAGATCTAGGTATTTAAACCTATAACTAGATATTATAAAATTTTTTTTTAAAGAACTCAGATATAAAATGTGATAATGCTTAAATATATATTTCAATTTCAAAATAAGACTACAAGAATTACTAAGGCCAATTATCTATCCTTTGTAGATAAAGCCTAACAAAGTTATTTATAAAATAATAAAATAAAAAAATTTCAAAGTCTAATCTGCAACTTGAGAAAACTAACAAATGAAAAGCTTCTTATTTTAATGAACTTATTTTGACTAGGCTTGGAGATATGAAAAGATACCTTGATACTGCATATTCTGAAAATGTCAAATTTTACCTGCTGGCAAGGAAGTACAGATCTCTGACTTCAATCCAGGATCCAGTACAGGAAATTCTCTATTATAAAACAAAGAGCTTAAACATTATAACATGAACTATCTCTACTAGAAGCAGAACTATCTACTTCTCTAAACATTATACAATACTAGCTTTAGCAGCTTGTGAACATCAGCTTAGGTCCTCCAGGGAAAG